TTAACATTTTTCCTTCATCATAAGAAACATAACTGACTAGTCAACATGGTTAAAGTATATAAATAAGATAGCACAGTGAAGGGTCTAGCTATTGAGGAGGGAAACTCAAAATCTACAGAAATCCAAATTTGCTTGGCAAGAAGGATATCACTGTACTCGAAGGGGTTAGGGATCTTGAGAAGGACTGGGAGATAGCCAAGAAGGTTGTTATGGAGCAAGAGGCCTAACATTTAGTACCCATCTTCAACAAGTCTACGTAGTTCCAAGAAAGGAGTCCCAGAAAAGAAGAAACTCCAATTAAAGGAGGGAAGATTCTTAACATTAGATTCCACATAGAAAAGTTTCTTTTCTTTTTTTTTTTTTTTAAGGAAAAAAAGAATTTAGTGAGGGTTCATAAATAGAACTGAAGGTGAGAGTAGGTCAAAAGTGATCAAACTTCACTTCTATCACTCACTATCCTGACTAAAGGAGATAGTTGTCAACACCTTCAGGAGATGATTTCTACGTAAGTGGAACGTCAAAAGAGATACCCAACTGAGGAAGAAGCACAAGTGAAAATTCCTCAATCTGACGGAAGACTTTGGGCTGGTTGAATTTTCAGAGTAATGGGGAGTTCACATGGTCAAGCATGTGTAAGAATCTTCTCCTGGATAGATTACTAGAATCAGAGGCGTGGATATGTTTTTTTTTTGTTTTTTTTTTTTCAAAAATTTCAAAAACAGAGTGAAAGGATATACAACTGAGCAACAAAAACGTCATCAACAACAACAACCCAAGCCAAGAGAAATCAAAAACTATATGAAAGAATCCCAACTGTTAAGAGATAAAGATGCATAATAAAACTCTTTTGTAAAATACTCCAAAAGAGAGGCATTCACCCAGGTTATAGACCAACCTTCCCCAAGACATCTCCAAATACTGCAAATTGGGTACAGTGGGTGAACAACAAAGCATCTCCAAGTTGAAGCCATTAATCAAACCAAGGAACCATGTAAAATGAGTCTACCTAAGGCACCAATTAGTCAATAGGGAGGGGGAGAGTGGGCTTCTTTAGGCCCTTGGTAGAATTTTGTCTATGGGTTTGTTGTTGATGACAAAAGTTTGATACTACTGATACATTCCCCAATCATTTTCTCCAACAATGTCCAAAGCTCTTAGCAAAAGGAATAGCACCTAGGACATCTCAATCTATCATGTTCCACGTCAACTTTTTAAAGATAAGGCTTGATTGCAACAACCCTTTCACTTCTTTCCAGCCCATTCAATAATAAACTCATTGGAAATGAGAGAGTCATCCAGCCAAAAAATAGTTAGCTACAAGTGAATTCATGAGCCCTAAAATAACTAGCCACAGTGTGACTTCACGAGCCCAAAAACAAATAGCCACAAGCCTAGTAAAACTCTTAGTAAGGAAGCTACAAGTGTGAATTTTTATATTACGAGACCAAAATTCATCTCATCCACAAAAAATGATTCTTACCAATCATAAGAAAATGAAAATGAAAATGAAAATGAAAATGAAAATGAAAATAGAGAGGCATTTATCTCAAAGAGCATTTTAAAGATTTCAATCATGCAGTCAACATGGACACCGAGACCCTATCAGATACATATTTAAATGGCAGTTGTTTCTTTACTTGCAAAAGAAAGATTCTGCTATGAATTTTGGAGGCGGAGATGCATATACACACAGAGAGAAAGAGCCAGAACAGGTTGAGGAAGTCAGGCAAATTGGAAGGAAAGATCGCAGGTTTGTAACAGTTAACTCAGGTAATTCTATTTCTAACTTGGCGTCTTAAAACGCATAATGCAACCCTGTGTAGAAGAATTTTCTTCACAATGACGAGAAGAATATGATCTTTCCAACTTCCCAACTGACTGTATACCATAACAGGATGAGAGACCAAGCCCAAGTAAAATGGACCTTAGTCATCAAACAAATTAGGATATCATATACACACCTAAAAAGCTGCATATAATTGGAATGCAAGAGTGCTATACGCATTGTACCAGTGCAAGAGGATGGGAAACAAAGATCATTGAGGAAGCAGTTGGCAAACCGTCCTCATGCTTCATCATGAAATTAAGATTCACCAGATTCTCATGCTCCTAAAGGTATATAACTTACCGCTCATTGCAGTTGAGTCGAGCACCGAGGTAAAACGCCACAGAAAGCAACCAACAATCACTGTGCACAGCCACCAACGAAAGCCAATCTCTGCGCTTCATCCCATCTCTAGCAAAATTGATCCCCAACGCAGGCTCAGGAAGCTCGGATGGCACCTCCTCGGCAGGCAAAGTCACCTCCCAAGACTCATTCGGGTGTCCGTACAAACACAAATTCTCCTTCTCTGGAAAAAGAACATCAGGAACTCAACATCAAAACCAACCCCAAAATTAGGTCAAAAGCCAAACAAAACCGCAAGTTTCTCCCGCCAATTCGACGCTCGCGAAGAACATGGCAGAACAAAATAAAATAAAACACAAACATATTTCCACAAAACAAACTAAAACCCTAAGCGCAAAACTTCATACCAACGCAATCATCCCACCTTTCTCAAACCAATCAAACATAAAACTAAGAAACTCGAAAGAACAAACACTCACCAGGATCGCAAAGCGAGTAGAAGTCATCGACATCTGCAAGACAAGAACCAAACGGCAGATCAAAATCAAAACCCAATTCCTCGAACACATTCCCAAAAAAAAGCCATAAAAACATCACGGTGAGAAGTACGAGAGAGAAATCACCATAAGTAAGGGCTCGCACGAGGCCAGTGCGTCGAGCGCTGTAATCCTTGAAGATGTCTTCGACGGTGCGAGGGCTGAAAGAGATTGAAGCCATAGATTGATTTGAGAGAATTGGAGAGAAATTTGCAGAAGTGGAAGAGATCGGAGTGATCACTGCCCAGTAAACTTGGAACCTCAAAAAAAAAAAAAGAAAAAAATGTTTGTCAGAATGCTATGGCTTATGATTTTGGCTCTAGTTCTTCCGCGCTATTAGTATTTATAAAAAAAAAATTATGATGTACTTTCAACTTAATTCTAATCATTAATTAACACAAAATGCTTAGTTGATTCGAATTCCTTGTGTCCATTCAATTGTCGCTTAAAACACTCTTATCTATATTTTTGCATATATCAAAATTAAATTATACAATCCACTTAAAACTTGTAAATTGGTGCAACCTCAATTAATTAAATAATTAAGTGATCTAATAAATAAAAAAAATTAAAAATTTAGACGCAATTTAATAATTATTTAGTTTTTTTCTTTTCAAATTTTTAATTTTGACTTTACACAAATAATTAAATCAGTGTTTGAAAATTAAAGACAGTTCTTTAAATTTTGTCTTAATTTTAGAATTTAATTAAAAGTTAGAATATTTTATTAAGAACTATGAAATTGTCAAAAACAAGCAAATTTTTATAAAAAAATAATTAACTATATATATACTTTTTTTTTTTTTTTTTTTT